TCTTCCTGAGGATTAACAAAGAAGATGATGATAAACATATAATACGTATATCGAGACTTGACCCTTGTTATCTGATCCTTTTTTTCATCATAATCATTGGCTCCCTTTTTTAGTTCTCTCTCATGTTATCTCTCACGCTATCCTATTGATAAAAAAGCATATTGAACACTCCTGGAGATGGTGAGTCAAATCAGGAGAAGTCAAAACCTCCCAGGAAAAGGGCGTGTCGAGTTCAATTGGGATACTGAGAGAAGTAGCTAGGTGAATGATGATCAACATGATGATGATTATGATGAGATGGAAGAAAGTAAGAAAGAAAGAAAGAAAGAAAGAAGAGAGAGAGAGAGAGAGAGAGAGAGAGAGATGCCCTAATTATCATCCGAGAGACAGATTGGTTACATCAAAGTGAAAATAGTTAATCTCAAGGATTTTCAACTAATACAAAATCATCAGGGAAACTCACCAAAGATCATCATCATCATCATAATTTCTCTCTCTCTCTCTCTCTGGCTCTGGTTCTTTCTCTCTTCCTTGCTGTTTGCTATTAAGTTCATCTATTCACCTCATTTAGTGTTCATAAACTTTTCTGATCATCAGAATTTTCATCTCTTATGCCTCTCTATCATCTTCATCCCTTATCTTTATCATTCACTCGTCTCTTTCTTTACTCTTTTTTATCCATCTTTTTCTCACTACCTTGTATTAAATATCATCATCATCTCTCTAGAGACAAATCATCTCTATGCATCCATCATTAAGAAAAGCTTCATCCTTCATGGAAATTTGTTTCAATTTGTGTTCTAATTTTTTCTCCCTTGTTCCTGTATTCGAGTGTTGTTGTTACAACATGTAACTAAAGGTAAACGAACACGAAACGGAAGCTCAACATCATCAGAGAAAATATCATGCTAGTGATAATGAAAACGTAACATGAATGAAATTAGAATCCGAGAATAAGTAAATGAAATGAGTAAAAGATAAAGAAGAGAAAAGAGTTTGCTTGTTATTCCAATTGTTCATCATGTTCTCGTCTCTCTCTCTTCCTAGAAACAAGAATGATAAAGTAAACAAGAATCACCACACAGAATGAAAATGAAGCTACAAAAGATCAAGATAGAGATGAGAAGATACTTTCTGATTAAGATGATGATCGATCAAGATGATGATGAGTAACAATTATGATGCAATAAAAGAGTAACAAAAAGAAAAGAAAAAAAAATTTCTAACTTCCTTTTACCTGGAAAAAGAGTGTTTGTTTTCAGTAGAAGATGAAGAAAAAAAAGGTTATCTAGATTATCATCATCTTCTTACTTATCTTCATCATCACTATCACCATCAACTAACAAGTTATCAAAAAATTCACACAAAAGGAAGATGAAGCAAAAAGATAAAAGAAAATATCAGAAAATTTGGAGAAAAAAAATTCTTTTCCAATTGAAACTAATAAAATAACAGAAATAACAGATTCCCTTTTTCAAGGTGAGTCAATAAAAAGGTAAAAGAGAGAAAGAAATAATTTCTATCATCATTATCATCCTCATCTTTGCTCATCATCATCATCATTTTTAGAGGAAATTTTCTTCATAGAGAGATGAATGGCTTTCTATCAATTGGAAAAGTGTAAAAAGTAACAGCAACAGTTGAATGACGACAGAAAAAAGTGAGAGATTAAGATTCTGAAAGAGAGAGATGATGATGAAGATAAAAGATGAAGGATGAGAAGATGTAAGATGTCAAAGAAATGATATAATATCGTATAGGCTTTGAGGTCAAGAAGATGACCAGTAAAGCCTATAACTAATATTATGAAAGAAGAAGAAAAAAAATCTTGTCAAAAGTTTCACTTTGACTTATCAAAGAATCAAATATAATAAAAATACTTTCAGTATTAATAGAAGGCTAATCCATAGAGTGGACAAAGGTCAAGCATATAAGAGAAAGAGAGAGAGAGAGAGAGAGAGAGAGAGAAATGAAAGAAAACAAAAAGTGACCACAAAGAATCAATCTTTTCACTTTCACTGGTCATCTTTTTCATACTCTTGTTCTTGACCAATATAATAACAATCAGAGATGAACAAAAAAGTATAACAATCAATTGATCAATCATGATGATCAGTAAATCATATTTGTCCTTTTACTTTAATCTAACCAATGTTCACCGAGGGATTTACAATAATATGTAATGTTAATCCGAGTAACATTTACAACCATCAAGATTATCATTACATTTTAATTGTCATATCATTTTGTTGACAATTAATCACATTCAAAGATTAGCTAAGGTATTGTAATCATTTCATTTCTAACGGTAAATTGTTAGAGGTAAAAAAATTTCTCGAAATTGGAAAGAGAAGGAAAAAAAAGTTCTAATACAATTGTTTCATCTGAATTTCGACTCGTTATGATTATTACCATAGATTATCATTCATTTTGATTTCTTTTTCTTATTTCATCATGACAGAATTTATCTTTTCATGATGATAAAATATTTCATGAGGAAAATTTTCTTGATAACATTGTAATCATAATAAAAGTAATAACCAAAAATGGATCACAATTGAAACCAGAAAATGAATTAAATTACCTGAATAATATAAACAACAACAACGATAATCATCATGATGAAAGTTGATTAAGAGTTAAAAGCTCGAAGGCAAAAAAGACACAGAGAAACGACAACAAGACAATTTGATAACAATCAATTCCCAAGTGAGATTAACAATTGATTAATCAATTGCAATGATAACAAGAAGAGGAAAAAAAAATCTATCATCATCTTCATCATCATCATCATTAATTCAGTACTAAAGGAATCAATTTAATAACAATGATAATCATACCAAAGGTAAACAAGAAAGCAAAAATTACATCACAAACTAATCTAAGGTTTTTCATTATATCAGATTAGGATTAACAAGATGCTAATCCAAAAGCTCAAGGTAGATGATTAATTTTAAAGGTTTCCTTATTATCATTATTAACTAGATTACCTGATCATATATTTATTATCATGATATAAAACCTCAACAATTGATGATAAAGCATTTTTGTTTTCATCCATCATAAATATCACCATGAAAATGATTCCGATAATCTGAAATTTTCTGATTCCGAACCAGAATTTGCCTTGAGGTGAATGAGAAAAAAAGTTTAGCTTTTCATGGTAATTTATTTTGTATGAATCAACATCATTTTCATCATTAGCCATCTTCATCACTGTTAGGATGAACAACAAGACAAAGTTAATTTGATAATCAGTGAGTAGTAATAACTAATTATCGTTATCGTTTAGATTATGAAATTAGATAATAATTGACTAATTATTATATTCCATTGGTAGGAAACTTTGTCCATTATCTGGTCAGATTATCTTCATTGATTATATTATATCTTTCGGGTAACTTTAATTCCAGTGATTAAGTTAAATTGATTCAGTTTACGAATTTGTTTCCATTTGTTAAATTTCATTTCTTTCTCTCAATTGACCAACCTAATAATTTTCTTTGCTTCTTTCTTCCTAATGAACAGCAATTAACTTTCATTCGATACAATTTAAGATAATCACAGTTATCATTAAATTTAGAAATTCACATTTTCGAGGAAAAAAAAGTTCGAAGTTCATTTTGAGTCTCTCATTTTGCTGATTCGCTGAGAAACATTTCTCTCCATGTAAATTTCATATTCTGCCAAAATATTATAATAACTTCGAGTATCTTTTCGAGTAACAAAAAGTGGCCTTTGTTTTATCGTAATGAGCCAAGATACTAAATAAACGCTTCGATGATCATTATCATCATCATTATCTTCATCTTCTTAATATATGACATCTTATCATAAATTCAGTCAGAACTTTTTTCTTTCAGTTTCTCGGAAACAATCATGAATTTCAAGGTTTCAAGATTTTCTGATCAATGAAAAAAGTTCATTTCTTCAAACTATTGATCGCTAATTTAATTGTAACACTTGATTGAGCTTTTAATCATATACATTTCATCTGATTTAGTTTGCTAATCACAATTAACGATTTGATTGATTGGACTTACCTTGAATTTGATGAAAAATTTTTAATGTAAAATTATTGTTCACTTTGTAGTTAATTATTGTTTTTTTAATCCAATTGTAATTGTAATTAGCACTGATTAAAGTTGAAAAAAAAACACAATTTCAATTGATGAATTAAGGTTAATTGTTGATTGATTCCTTTACAATTTAAATTTAATCACAATTAAGTTTGAAGGTGAAACTTAAATGTTAATTATTGGCAGTAATGAAAAAACAACTTAAATTGTATAAAAAAGTTTCCAAATGTTGATTAACTTTTAGATTGTTGGTTAATTGAATATAATTAGTTAGTTGAGTCCGAGTATTGGCAAAGTTTAATCACAATTAACAAGCTAAATTAAGGTTTTCAATTTAGTTTCAAGTTTATTCACAAATTAATCCAAAATGTTTTGTAGTTTGTTTTGTTTTTTTACTTTGATTGTACTAAACTAATTTCTCAAGTTGATTAGTTTAATTGTGATCAAAGGGATAAACACAATGTAAACACATTCACCGCTAGTACACATTAAGATTAAGGTGATGGTAATTTGTTGATTGTTGTTGATGAGAAGCTTCAATCTTCATCCAACAAAAACTTAAACTAAACTAAAAGTTGTTTCTGTTTGGTAAGTAAAAGCAAACTAGTTACACCATTAACTTAATTGTTACAATTTAGAAGCGATAGTGACATCTATCAGTGTATGTAAGAGTTAATTTTCCATTTCAACTATCAACACAATCCAATTGTTACAAGACCATTGAGCGAATTGTTCTGTCACAGAATCGACGACCACTGAACAAGAGTTGGGCTTTTCGACCGGAATTCAACCTTGAATAGAGTAATTATCCCTAGAATTTATCGTTTTTGTATTGGTACTTTTGCTATTATTTGATGTTGGGTTCAAATCTATGATGGATGATTAAGATGCCTTTTGTAATTGTAAGTTGAATCGTTCAAGTTAGAAATGAGTACCAAGGTTGATACAATCAGTTTCAAATGCTTTGGTCACTATGGAATAAGATTTATGGTCAATTAAAGGTAATCGAATTGAAAGAACATCGGAAACATGTGAACAGAATCCATTGGTACAAAGTTCGTCGATCACTTGTCGAATTGACCTATCATAGAATCGACGACCAGAGACAAGGGTCGATAGTTTTGATTGAACTTCTTTTGTGGTATTCGAGCCATTTGAAGCTAATCGACGTTTCAAATTGATCAAAGGCACATCGCGACTATTAATCGAGCCCGAAGTTTTGATGAATTTGGATCTTGAGTCGAGTTTATTTGATTCTCCTTGGAATTGACCAACATCAAGGGAACCCAAATCCTTAGAACCATATTCTTGGGGTGATGAATTTCTAACTGATTTAACAACGTTCTTGAACTGAGTTTCAAGAGTTTCATGAGTAAGATCATTACTTTCCGAGTCAAGAATCCAAGCAACTGAATATTCATCAGCTAAACAGGTCATTATGTCGGGTTGATCACAGAAAGTGGCGTAACTTGACTCATCTGGATTGGCCGCTGTAGTAGCAAAGACACTGATGTTCGAGGGCAAAATGTTGGCAAACATTGACCCTGATTCACAAGCTTCAAGGTAAAAGGTCAATTTACCGTATAATCGGTTGTCGTGCATGTAAACCAAAGCTTCATTGAGCTGGTGGGATGAAAGGGTCGATGAAGGAAAAGCAACAAGACCTGTTGCCCCATGGTCAGAGAAGTAGATGAAGACGTGATCATTTGGTCCAGAGGTCAAAACTTTTTTGCCCTTGGCTGCGAGTTCCTTGTCACCTTTAAGCACTTTGATGAAATTTTCGGGGGTCACTTCATGTCCAGTGTAGTCCTTTGAGACTCCTGAATAAACGTTGGTTCCTTTTGAAACATTGAATACCATTACTTTGATTGAAAATGATGTGATAAAATTATCATAATAAGAAGCAAAAAGTTAATGATTGTATTTAAAAATTGTGATAGAAAGTTGATAATTTCTGTTGGGTTGAAGTAAATTGTATTTATAAAAATTAACGAAACATAATTAGCCAAATTGTTACAAATCGCAATTAATTAACAACAAACTGAAGATGAGGTAGTATAATCAACAATTAAATCAGTTTTAAGTACTTCATCTTTAATCAGTTTGATTTGTAATAAATACATAGAAAATGATAGACTGATTAAATGAACAATTTGGAAGCAAAAAATCAAGACACAATTAGCTGCCATTTAGATTGAGATCAGTTAATTGTTCATGATGAAAAAGTATTCTAACCATGTTTAACCTTATTGGCTCTTCCATGAAAGGTCATCATCGCCGTGTCACCACCGATCAGTTTGATGATATAATATGAAGCTTGAGAGGGAAGAAATGACTTGATGAACAATAGGAAGTAGATTAACTTTGGAACCACAATTATCTCCTGATTAGCCAGAATCACTGAGATCATCTCATCGGCGACATAATCTGGGTCCAAAAGTCCCATGTACTTGGTTTTCACCCCGTCTAACATGCTGGTGTTTATGAACCATGGACACACAACCGTACAGTGGATCCCATCGTAATCCTCTGTCTTCATTTCGTACCTTAGAGATTCATCAATGTATCATTCGAAATTCAATTTGACTTTTTCTCAGGTAAAAGTAATTAGAAGATCAGCTAGAATAACAATTGTCTCCAAATGCTATAATCGATGATCGAAAGGTAAAAGAGTTCACCAACACATGCGGCATTTTTACTGATGAATTATAACCAATTGAAATGCTGTTGTCAAAGGACATTAAAGATAATACCATTGGCTCACAATTAGTTGATCACAGTTGATTTGTTAAGATTACAAATCATAGAATATATTAATGATTAGTTCGATTAACTCAACTACTCAAGATGAAATTATCAATAATCATCGCAAATCCAATCCACATCCAATTAAAGGGGATATCTGATTTGATTTGCAAATGAATACCAAATGATAACAATTACCAATCATTTCACAGAGAAGTAAATTTTCATACACAATCAATGAATTAATCACAGGTAGTGACGAAGTAAAAATCATAATCAATGTCTACTAATCGAGGAAATACAAAATCTAACACTTTGATACTCAATCGTTTATCTAATTTGTCAGTTAATTTCCTTTTTGGGGATATTGATTGTGCTTTTTTTTGATTATCCAACTAATTGAATCACTTTAGAAAAAATCACAAGGGATTATAATCAGGTTTAAATTCAGTATCCACTAACTTGATTAAGATTTGCTGACATTTTAGGTATAGATTACGTTCAAGCTACAAGGAGTCTATGAAAGGTTAAGGTATCAAAAAATTGACCAAAAATCCTACAAAACAAAAGACTAGTACGAACAAAATCTGATCATCCATTCATGAGAAATTCTGAATAAAAGTTCTTTGTACGCGAGAGCAGTTCGGCTTTTGAGAGCGCGAGATTCAAAAAGAGAGAGAAAAAGTAAAAGGTAGGGAAAAGAAAGAGAAAGAGATGAAAGAGAGGACAGAAGAGAAAGAGAGGGGAGAGAAAGAGGAAGAGAAAAAATTTGATTAAAGATTAAATTTCACAATCGATTATTTTGTCACTCGAATCTTCAATGGTTCAGCCAATCGCCTCGTGGTATGTAAAATCCATCATTAAAGATAATCTTGTTTACGTAAGTGAAAGGTGAACAATCAAAAATCTAATTCTAAAATTAATTTGCTTCTGTTCTCAAATCACCTTTTCGAACCAAGCGGCTCGTAGTCGACGCGCTCAACATTTGCCACAAATCCTCGAAATATCGTCATTAGAACATTAGTTTCGACCTCAAGTAACAAGATACTGAAAATGTTCATCAATAAGTAAAAATTTCAAAGATAAACTCAGTTGTAACTCAAATGAACGCTAATAGATGTCACTATTTCTCTCAAATGTTCATCTTTTCATCCGCTTTGCTTTTGCTTCTCAAACAGAAACAACTTTTAGTTTAGTTTAAGTTTTTGTTGGATGAAGATTGTGATTATCAACAGTTAACAATCAGCGAGGTTTAATTGATCATATTTCTTAATTGTTTCTGTGAATATTGTTAACTAATTAAACGACAATAATAATAGTAAATAGTTTTGTGAAAAACAAAAATCGGATCAATTGGTAAATCAAATTAGACACAACAATCAAACGGATTAAATGAACAACAATCAACAAGAACCATCATCATTATATCAACTGAGCTAATCAAAGTGTCCGATATTTATTTAAATTGTTTTCGTATCAACTGTTGATAATTATTATTAAATCCAATTGATCAACTGTGTTGTTGTTACAATTAAAATTAATAGAATCAAAAAAAGGAAAAAGTGTTAATTAATTGAATGGATGGGTTTGAATACCCACCAATACAAATCAATTCCAATGGAGTATGTGATAAATTTAATTACTCATCAATCAATCAATTGGTTGATTATCTTATCGTTATTAATTATACCCAAAGTGTATTCAAGCCCAATGGACACAATAGATTTTGTTAATGATTCACCTAATCAATTTAATCGTCATCCGAAAGATGCAACTGGATTTAATCGTTCATTAGGTAAGTTCTGAACAATCAACAAACAATTAAACTTAACTCCAGTAGTAATTAAAACAAAGTTAATCGTCAATTTGATGATACGATCGATAAATGGATAAAACAATTTTCTCTCTATTATCATAACTCATAATTAACCTGGAAAATTAAAATTAACTATTACAATCTAAATAATCCATCTGATGATGATTAAGTTAATTGTTCAATGGATCAGTTATAGATTTAAATCTTAATCGAGATCTTAATCTTGACAGAAAATTAAAAATTTAGTCTAATTGTTAATGAATGTGAAAGACAATTAAATGATGAAACCGGCATTGAATTAATTAGATTAAGTTAATAATTAATACTGATAGTAAATGTTGATGATGATAATATAATGATGATTAAGGGGAAATGATAAAATTAAATTTGGGAAAAGGTTAACATGAAGATTATGATGAGGATGAGGATGAGGATGAGGATGAAGATGAAGATGAAGACAGGTAGGAAGGCTTAAGGGGAAAGGTAGAAGATGCTTCTTGTTTATCAAATGAAGATGAAGCTTCTGATGATGAAGATGAAACCGGTTGGATGAGTTAATTAGTAAAGAAAATTTTTCCTTCTCTATCTGCATCATCATCCTTCATCCTTCATCTTCATCATCTTCTAAATTTCAAGTTTGTCTCTATTCGTGGGAAAAAGATGACCAAATGATTGTAGATTAATGGTGAAAAATCATCTCTTATCTTACTCATGAGAGATGAAGATGATGATAAAAAAGTGAGAGAGTGAAATGATAACTTCTCTCTCTCTCTCTCTTTCTCTCTCTTTCTCTCTATGATGAAGATGATAGTGATAATGATACTGTTTCCTGTTAGAATCTCATAAAAAAAGATACTCAGAATTTCAGAACTTTTTTTAAACTTCTTTTGTAGAGATTATCTCTTATTTTCTCTTAATTTTTATTATCATTTAAATTTGATCAAAATTAGAAAATTCTGACAGAAAATGAACTTGTTTTCCTCTTCATTAATTGACAATTTAATTACGAGAAAAAGTTAATTAACAACTGAAAATGAAGATGAAGAAGAAAAAAACTTCTCCATGATAATTGAAGATTAATCTTTTTAATTCAAACTCACTCGAGATTAAAAGATGATTATAAATGTTTATCATCATTGTTTTCCAACTTGAAGGATAATTAAGTTAATTGTTGTTACTCTTGTTAGTGGACAATATTTAACACCTTATCTTCATTGTCTCAATAAGTTGATTAACTCTTGATTATTATCCATGATGATGATAATTTGTTTCTGTTTATCCTTAGATTTAATTGTAATGACGATTCGCATTATGATTAAGATTAAAACAAAAGGCAATTTATTTTGTTTTTTTGTTCATCATTGGATTTGATTGTTACAAGAAAATGTTAACATAATTAACTTAATAATGGTAAACACATGAAAGTGAATTAACTTTGATTTTGATGATTAATTATTTAGTCAACATTTTCATTATCATTATCTCAATTATTATCAGAACTTTTTCCCTCTCTCTCTCTCTCCCTCTCATTCAAACTCAGAATTCACAATTATCTCCTAGTATATATTTATTGTTTCCATATATCATGTTGGTTATATTGTATGATGATAATCACAATGGTGATGATGATGTTTATCTGGCAACTGAGATGATGATGAAACAAGGAAAATGTTTTTACCATGTAACACCAATGTTATCATGGTGATAACTTTTCATCTCGACAGGAAAATATTACTCTAAATGTGAATAAATTATTGTGATAACTTTATTTTTTGCTCCATGAAGATAATGATCATGTGGACTATCATGGTGATGATGATGTGTTGTAATGTCGACAATGGTGATAACGGTGAAATGTTATTCAGTGGAAACAAGGAAATGAAAATATTGGAACAATGGGAGAGAGAGAGAGAGATGATAAGTTGTAGGAGTTATGATGATGATGATGATGATGATAAATGAAAGGTGAAAAGTGGACTTTGGCATAATTTTAACAAGAAAACTGTTACATGTTGGTGAAGATGATTATTTATATTATGAAGATGTAATAATGATACGGATAAAATTGATTGTTATTTGTTTATCATTAGCATCATTTTCATAGTGATAAAGATGAGAAATGATGAAAAATATTGGACATAAGATTTTACTTGCTGATGATAATGGTGATCATTTAAGATAAGTGAAGATGAAAACTTTATCATCTCTAATATTTATCATCTTTTAGTACAATTCACCAAATTATCCTCATTATCATCATCACTATTAGTTTACGATATCATTATCATGATGATAATGATGATAACAATATGATGAAATATTATCATGAGCATCGCTTGTACCATTCATCATGGAAACGGAAATGAGGAAGCAAGAAGTTGTCTCTCTCCTTTTTCTCTACCCCTAAGAATTTACTCATCTGAAAGAGATGATGACAAGTTAAGGATGATAATGATGAGGATGTTACGTTATCAATTGTATTCCAACTGAATATTACCTGAAGAAAGTAAAAGGAAATAAAGTAACTGAGACATTCAGAATTTCCTTAAGGTTTATGTTGGACTTATTTTCCTCTTCTTCTTTGTAAATAACTTTGATACTAATTGTACCTTTCAACTTGATCATTTTGTCAATCTTTCACTTTGTCATCAGGATTTCATCATCTTCTCATCTTAACATCATCATCTTTGACCCATAAACGTTACCAACAATAAGTATTTACTCAATCATAAAGAAGAGAGAAAAAAATTCTAAGGTGAAAATTGGATTGATAAGATGAGAGAGAAACAGAGAGAATGCTAGAAATAAGACTCCACCCGACTTTCTCTTACCTGAAAATCTTAAGAAAATGAAATAATTTCTCTTCATCTTCATCCTCATCCTTCATCTTCTTTATCATCCTCATCTTGCTTCAAGAGTCTCCAATAAAAGACATTTATTTGTATTAACTAAATGTAAGAAAAACTTTTTCCTCTGTAAAATAATATTACCTTTTTGTTAGACTCTTACCTGAGATTGACTTTCTCTCACCTTGACTAAATAAGAAAACAACATTGTGGTCATTATATTAAGACCATTATCATCATTGTTGATTATTAGTTGCAACAATTAACATCTTCTCAACCGTTCACATTAAGATAACATGAATTAACACCAATGGTAATGATGATGGTAAAGGAAAACATCATCATCAACATTTTGTTAATCCAACGAAATCGTTGACGAAAGTGAAAGTTTTTTTTTACCTCCGATACTTTTGTTAGCTTTTCTGTAATGATAATGATTATTATCATTGGCGTGCTGAGAGTAAGATGATAAAGATGATGGGAAACAATAGGATGAAAATGACATTGTGATAGTAACCCCAAAGGGATGATGATAGCTTTTTGTCTGAAGATGATGATGAAAAGATGAAGTATAAGATCAATGTCTTAACTTGATGAAGATGTGTGACCATGAAAAGGATATAAACTGAATTGATGATTGATAAAGATTTTTTTTATTCTATTTTTTTTTCTTTACTACTGTTGATTGTTGTTGATATGAAATCTTTTTGTAATAATTATCATCAGTTGTAATCATTTTTAGCTAAGGATGAGGATGAAAAGAGAGTGATGATAAAAATCTTACTGGACATTAAATAAGATTTAACTTTAAGCTTCAAAAAGCTCAAATATAATCAACTTATCATTTAGAAAGTTTTTTCTCTTTCAAAAGTAACTGAGAGAGAAAAGAAAGTAAGATGATGAGAATAGAAATGATAATGAAATTGAAAACAAAGAGATGGACAAAAGTAAAATGATTGTACAGGTAAGATTGTCGCAAGAGGGTGACATCAGTGGGAGGGATGAGGATAATTTGCTTATGATGGACACAAGAAGATTAATAAGTTTATGAGAGAGAAACGATTGACACAAAATTAGAAGAAGATAAAAATAGTAAGCTAAATACTACGATGATGATGATGTGCGTGAGAGAGGATGTTAATCTCACTCACCCTTTCTACTGTTATCATCATTGTCTTTCTCAGTCTCTAATGAGCTAAGGGATTTAATGAGCCTGGTAAAAGTTGATAACTTTTTAAATTATTATTCAACTGCGGACCTTGATTATAAGGCCCACTTCCCTTTCCACTTTGCTTCAACATCATCATCATCTTCATTCAGACATTAATACTAATTTTATGAGAGAGAGAGAGAGAGATAGTCAAAGATCATCGACTCCTCAATTTTTTATCTCTCACACTAACTTATCATCATCTTCTTACTTGAAGCCCACTCTCCATCATTTTCATTATAATTTCTTGAGGCTGGACAAGAGTTTACTCACTAAGGGATAAAATGTTTTATCTTCTTCATCATCTTTCGCTGTCGGTGAATAGAGAGAGAGAGAAGATGATGATGATGATGATGAAGAAGATGTCTCTTTCTTTTTTCTCTTTCAACTTGTCTCTTCATCTTCCCATGAGCCTAACCCACTCATTCAGTTCCCACTGAGTTTTCTGTTGATATTTTTAATTTCTTGTCCTCTTGTCATTTAATTTTCAATTTACTTCTTTCCTTGATTAAATATGAAATTGCAAACGATAATAATAATGATGATGATGATGATCAATCTAATCATTTACATCATCCTGTTAATCAGTATGAAAGATGATTAAGCAACTAGAGATGAGAGGAAAACAATTTATAAGTTAAACAAAAATCCTACAATTTCAACAAAGATAAATGTTTATGTTAATTGTTGATGTAACTTGATATTCATTTATACATCTATGTATTTACAATCAAATATAATTATCAACATTCAACATTATCATTATCATTATGTAAATTAACCTTTGATCAATGTACAAGGTCAAAGGTTATGATGTGACAATTGAATATAGTAAATGTTTACGAAATAAAAAAAAACTTTTTCATTTTCGAGGAAAAGTTTTTACAACTTGAAATAATTGTAATGATCTCAAGTATTGATTC